CCCGAGCAGCTGGGACTACAGGCACGCGCCACCATGTCCAGCTAATTTTTTCTATATATTTTTAGTTGTCCAACTAATTTCTTTCTATTTTTAGTAGATACAGGGTCTAGCTCTTGCTCAGGCTGGTCTCGAACTCCTGATCTTGAGTGATCCTCCCACCTCGGCCTCCCAGAGTGCTAGGATTACAGGCGTGAACCACCATGCCCAGCCCACGTCCAATTCTTTCTTAAGCTGAGACCATTACTAATTTGTTTTCCATTTGTATAAGTTTATCATTTCAAGGATGTTATATAAATGGAACCATACAGTATATAACCTAGGATTTGCTTTTTTTAGCATAAGTCTCTGGAGATTCATCCAGGTCGTTGTGTTTTTGTCGCCGAGTAGCCGTCAGCAGTAAATGGTGCGCAACAGACTGCTTCACTCACCTGCTGCAGGACATCTGGGTTGTTCCCAGTTCTTCGCTATTATGAATGAAGCTGCTATAAACATTTGTGTACAGGTTTTCGTGTGAACGTATGAGACTTCACATCCCTGGGATAAATGCCCAGGAGAGCAATTGCTGGGTCATTTGGTAGTTACAAATTTAGTGTTTAAAGAAACTACCAAATTGTTTTCCTGAGTGGCTGTAACGTTTAAGATTTCTGAGTCCTTTACTGTTTTTACATATTTTTTTCTAGGCCACTTCTTCTCTTTCTCTTATTTATACCCCTTCCCCTCATTCACTTCAGTATATTTTCTGACCTTTGTTACTTTGAGGTAGTGTATTAGACATAAGTAAATAACTTCCTTTCTGGGCCCACTGAAAAACACCAGGTTAAACCAGAGGGCAGCACTCGACAATGGGGTGTCTGGAGGCACCTCCACCTGCGGCAGCAGGACCTTTCAGATTGGCACATGGGGAGCTGGGTCACGGCTCTGTAAGGAAGGCCACCCAGACATGGCCAGTCTTCCGGTGGATTAACTGGAGTCCAGTATGTCAGCCATAATGCCAAATCACCACTTTATGTGATTTAGTTCAGGGAATCCACCATTCTTACATTAGCTAGAAGTGAAAGGTGAGGATTGGATTCAGAGCTCCAGAAAAAGGATGGTTTGTCTTTGCTCTGGAAATTCCATTTCCATGTCCTGAGCATTTACTCTGTCAGGACAGACTGCTTTTTCATACAAAACTATGGTGCTTTCCTTTAGTGCGTGCTAAGTTCATGTAGTTTAGTTATGTCTCAGCCCTGTTTTTCTATGTCAATTATTTTCATTCTATCAACATACACTTTTTTGGAAGTATTAGTTTCCCTAAGCCTGGTAGATTCAATGTTTTATTTCCTTTTGGGAGGGTTAGAAGTGCCCCCAAGACAGCCTATACTACTTGTATGTCTTTATTATCAAGTGTGTAAATGACTCAATGATAGAAACATGGTCTATCACTCCCAGCTCTCCAACAGTACTTTCTGCAATGAGGAAGCTTTCTGTATCTGTGCTGTCCAATTTGGGGGCCACTAGCCATGTGTAGCCACTGAGCTCTTAATTGTGGCAAGTGCAACTTAGGAACTGAATTTTCAATTTTATTTCATTTTTATTAATTCAAACAGCCACATACAGTTAATGGCCAACTATGCTTTGGACAGCATAGATGTATGTCACCAAAACAGGACATGAAGTATTTTGGTATAATACTTCTACAGCATGGTCAAACTATTGTCTCTATTATAGCATCCCCTAACCACGTATTAATATTTGTCTCTCCATTTTTATAACTATATTCTGTATAACATAGATTAGATGCCACTTCCCCAGTATCCCTCTAGAAAGTTAGATCGGCAGCACACTCCCAATTTAAGTCTTTTAGATTAAAGTAGAAATATGGAACATGAATTCACAAAAAAAAAAAAAGAAAGAAAAGAAAAGTAGAAATAATAGTAGCTAACATTTCAGTAGTACTTAACGTTATGCCAACTTGGCAACAGGAGGTCATACGTGATCGTGTTTAGCAAACTTGAGCATATTTGGGAGTGGAAATGAGGATTGGGCTGATATTCGACTAACATTTACCAAGAACTCATTACAAGCTGGGCTTATGCTTCAAGTTCATACCCATTAATACCCAAGCAGAGCTCGAGACGGATCACTTAAAAGAAGGTTCCATTTACCTTGGTACAATACACACACTGGTACGGTCTGTCTCCAGAGTGGACTCTCATGTGTTTGTTCAGACTTGAAGACTGGGAGAAACATTTCCCACATGTAGAACACTAAGGGGAAAAAGGAAAATGTAGTTGAAATCATGTCTTCCCCAAACAAGTCCATTTCAACATTATGTTTACCTGGGGGTGAGAGGAAAACTCTCATATGTATTTTGGGTATGTCTGTACTTGTCAGATCGCCCTCCCCAGGCTGAGGGTCTACCTGAGACAGTAGGTTTCTTCAGATCTGAAATGTGGGAACTGAACAGGAGCGTGGTATTGTGCGGTCTGAATTTGTCCTGCTCTGTCAACAAGTAGCGGGGTGACCACAGCAAATCAGCTAAAATTGGAATCTTCGTTTCCCAGTCTTCCTTGTGGGCAAAATACCTGCTCTGCCTTCCTCACAGGGAAGTAAATTCCAAGTACTGCGCAATTTACTTAACAAGTACTTACGGAGTGTACCTACTGTGCGTTCCGCACTATGCTAGAAACCGGGAGCTGAAAACCCAGTGGGGATGGTGATGACTATGCAAACCAAAATGGTGCTACAGTGTGACAGACAACTGTACCTATAAGAAAAGGCTAAAATTTGGGGGGTCCAGTGGGATCACATGGCAGCTGTGGACAATTCCTGTCGTTTCTCCATAGTCTTTCTCAGGCATTCCACACCAGGTGAAGGAAGCTACTAGAGCGACACAACCACTCAGAGGTTGCCAGGGACAAAACAGAAAGCCTTTGGTTTTGACATCATTTTTAAATAAATTACATTCACTAAAAAGGAAAAACAACTTTGAGGAAGATTTTCAAACTTCATGCCCTGCTCCCCAGACGTGCTTATGGGTAGATGAGAGAGCAGGTCTTTTTAGATGGTGGGATTTGGGGTGGTTCTTAAGTCTTCTCTAATTTTTCTGTACTGCTTGAAGTTTTAATAATGAAGATCTATTATCTTTACTAAAACAAACAAACAAAAAAATCACATACGGTTAATATTGCCAAAAGATCAATTATAAAAGGATAGCAATTAGAAAAAGAAACTGTTCTTGGAAATTAAAAACAAAACAAGAACCAAAAAAACAGGGGTGGGATAAGAAAATTCCTTTGAGCTTAGGATTTGCACCTCCAGATTGAAAGAGTCCACTGAGTACAAAATAGCAGCGGGTGGTGGGAAGGGAAACGACATCCAGTTTGACATTTTCTGATAAAGTTTCAGAGCTCCAAAGATAAAGAACAATTTCCACAAAGAAGAAAACTGGTTATTTATAAATTTTGACCTAAAAATCTATATATGCCCAGTAAAGCTCTCAATGAAGTATGCAAGTAAAATATCCCCAGACAAAGGATTCAGAAAAATTTTCACCATGGACTCTTAAAAACAATTACTTTGAAGATATACTCTAGTAATGCAATAAAGAATCCAAAAGAGGCCAGGCGCAGTGGTTCACGCCTGTAATCCTAATATTCTGGGAGGCCGAGGCGGGCGGATCGCTCAAGGTCAGGAGTCTGAGGTTGCTGTGAGCTAGGCTGACGCCACGGATGGCACTCTAGCCAGGGCAACAGAGTGAGACTCTGTCTCAAAAAAAAAAAAAAAAATTGTTTGTCCTCATTAATAATGAAGATGCAAATTGAAGTAAGATACTGTTTCTCACCTATCAAAATCGCAACATAAAAAAATATTATTATATTATTCGTGGGAGAGTTGGTGCTGCTTACTACATTGCAAGTTCAGGCGGCCGGACCATAAATTGATACCTACTCTAGAAAGCAGTTTGTACCTTAACTCAAGATCCTTAAAACTGTACTCATCCTTTGACCTGGTGTTCTATTTCCTGGAGTCTATCCCAAGGAAATAATCAGAAATGGATAACAGATGATTTCTATAAAACATTGTTCACTGCAGCAATATTGGAGATAAATGCACAAAATAGAGAATTAGTTAAATAAATCCTAGCACATCCATATGTGAGGTACTGACGTAGCTATTATTATGTTTACAAACTAGCTCATGATGTAATGTTAAATCAGAAAAGTAGCCTCATAATATTCAGTATGACCCCAATTATATTAAAATACGTACATACAGAGAAAACAATTACAGCTAAAATGGCTTAACTTTGAGCCATAGGATATCAGGTGGCTTTTTCCCCTCCTCCAATTGTCTTTATCAAGAGCACATCATTTTCTCATGTTGAAGAATAATCAAAAGCAAATAGCTGCTGCTACAGAATAAATAAATAAAATAAAATAAAAATTACATATTAAAGAATTTTATCAGCTGGGAGCAGTGGCTCACGCCTGTAATCCTAGCACTCTGGGAGGCTGAGGTGAGAGGATCGCTTAAGGTCAAGAGTTCGAGACCAGCCTGAGCAAGAGCGAGACCC